TACATTCGTTATGATGTCATTTTCATATGACCTACCAGCAATAGTTGTGACAAAGCCACTAGAAGGCAAGCCTGCAACCTTTAGCCAAAAAAGCACAATTGCTAACGCTAACGGTGCGGCGGTACGCAAGGAAGGAGACCAGAGGCCATTTTTTTATTGATGTTAATGGTGAAGAGGCATCACTACACTGAATAAAACCGCTTTTGTGAGGAAATAGCTTATCATTTAATGAATCGAATGACTGTCCACTACTAATCTTCAACATGTTTTACGCTAAACAAAACTTTTGCTGGGAACGATATGTAGATTTTAGTATGATAAAAAGGCTATTTTATGAGCTGTGTGCCTATATGATGATATAACGCTTTTTAATGAATGATACATATAAATACATACATACAATTTTAATAAATTAAATATGCATTCAATTACAATTAAGTTTTTAGTGTAATCTTAAATGTAGTTTTACTTTGCAGCTAAAAGAGATATTCACACTTTTTTGAGATATTCATGCACTGCTTCGAGTCAGGAGCCGATCATGAAGTCGAAAAAGCAACCTCTGGTTGTGACGCATTACTGCCATTCACAAACTCTCTCACGTGATCTAATGTCCATTGGACGCGAATTAGGATATACTCACATACTATTATTCACTTACTATACAGTAGGGAAGTATGCATATTCAGATGCACCCATAGTCACTTGTTTCGTTTCTGAATGAATTTGAGTTTTGAACAAATCTGTTGAATAAACGATTCAATTACTTAAAGACCTACTGCAGTAATGTAACCTGCAAAAGTAATAAATGAACCCACTCATACAATTGTATGCACTTGAGAAAGAGATGTTGGTGCACTGTTAGGGTTAGTTGGCAAAAAGTTGAGTACAGCTGTCAGGGATTAGTCATAGACATGTCGATTATCTGCCTGTTAGTCACACATGGAACTCTGGAACATTGTCATTCCCAGTTTTTTTTTATTCACCTGTATTATGGTTACTAAATATTGTTTTGGTCATTCTGATTGACCAATCAGTTGCTTGTTGGTGGGGTTATAAATGTTTAACCTGTAGGAATAAACAATGAAATAAAAATGAACATGAAATGTGAGATGTGTTGTGGTTTGTTGCAGGGCCATCGCTAGTGTGGCAAAAGGCAAGCCCCCCCATGCCCCCCACCCCCCTGCCCCAACCCTTACCCTAACCTGCACTGGGGCCCCAGATACCCCGGCTACAGCCGTGGTTTGTTCACTGCAGCATGTGTTACATTAAAGACACAGCTCAGCTGGGACTGTTAGCAGCTTATCTATGCATTTACTCAATATCGCTACACATTCAGTTTTCAAGAAACATATGTTGTTAAGCAACCACACAAACTTCCATCATATCAGTGAATGACTATGTTTGACTGTTTAAATTTGTGATTGAATACAATGCACGGTTTATCCATTTAAAAAGCTGACTGGGAATCTCCTTACCTGCAGAGAGATCAAGTGGTTGTGAATCAGAGGTTGACTGTGTTCATTGAGGAGCATAAAGATGTGGTACATGCTAAAGAAATTTCTCTGCATGCTGAAACTTGTCATTTGAGGCTCTGGGGCACTTTAACAATCATCGTGCTCTGGTGCTTAGTAGAGTTGGCATTGCTTTCTTTTTTTTTCTTTTTTTTTTAGAATAATTGTGCCCAGAGACAAGAGATATAATAATGCCTGGTCTGTGGTTTGTATGTGATAATCCATTGCAGTTGATAGGAGTTATTTTAGGGACTGTTTCCATGGTCATGGTTGGAGTCTCTGAGCTCAATATAACTACAGTTACGTGTTGAGCTGTGGCCTGTTATTGTTCTGATATTTCTACACATCTTCAGTGACTATAAAATACAGTAACAAATCAATGAGTAGGGGTGAGCGGGGCACAACCTAACGTCGGGTTAGTTGTAACACACTTGTTTTAAAGACTTCCACACATGCTAGCATGACAAAACTTAGTGTATTTACTAGTTGCCATATCAACACTATATAAAGAAAATATTGCACCAAAATTCAGAAATCTTTGGAAGATATCACTGAACATTTATTTAACCATAGCAAATTTCTTAAGTTAATTTTTCATCTCTGTTTTTGTGTTTGTTTAAAATTAGACAAATCTGATATTATTTTAATCTTATATCTGTTATTTAACAGTTGCGATAGTTCTTTAATGCTGATCTAACCAGCAGAAGACAGTAGCCGGGTTTAGTTGCGCAGGTAACTGCGTTACAATGTGCCCCATTTAGAACTATGCTTCTATACTATACTTTCATACTATACTTTTATCAATTTTATTGAGAAACCATGAGAAAAAGGTTAATAAAGACTGAGAGTCAATGTTCAGAAATGATTAAAGGGGTCATATAATGCCATTTTTGTACAAGCTAATATGATTCTTTAGGGTCTAAATTAAAAGTTTGCAATATACTTTAATTAAAAATTCTCATTAGTATTGTAAGAAAACACTTATTTTACCTGGTCAAAAACAGCTCTGTTTTCAGCACGCCGTTTCAGTGCATATGCCTTTAATGATAATGAGCTTTGCTCACCCCGCCTCTCTGTTCTGTGCATACACCATTTGTAACACAATAACACAATAACCATAACGCGGTGTTCAGTATAAACGTGGGATTATGAATTATATTGAGAACGTCATACATAGAAAACATGCCGTAATGTACCCTGAGTGTCAACCTTAGACGCATTCATTGTGAAGCGTGCAGCTAGCGATTTGCAAAGATTAATATATTAATATAAAGTTTAATAAAACGTTACACTCACTTCAGTTGTTCTAGAGGTTCAGCAGGAACACGAATATCTGGTACCGATCCTTTTTTCATGAGCAGCTTCTTAGCAAATCCAGCTTTATACTGATCCTCGTTTATAAAGCAGTCTGGTGTGAAATGATTCGCGCAAACATGAAAGCATTGACGTTGCTCGTGGGGAATATTCCCTTCGAAAACAAACTCAGCCACTGCGTCTTCAGCGGTTCGGATTTAGGAACATTAAAATGACTGTGTTCGTTATTACACCCAAGAACAGAACACCACAACCGCTTAGACGCCATTCTGCTCATAGACAGTGCTCCAGCATATCAACAATGACTGACCACGCCTGTCCGCGCGGACTATGATTGACAGCTCCCTCACGAGCGAGGGCGGGTCTGTGAATCAACAATCGTGGGAGGGGCTTCCGACCGTGTGACGTCACACGGTCGAACGGCTTGATTTGAGGCAGGGGAAAACATATAAGGAGATTAAAACAAAAACACTGGATGGATTTTTATCATTTTATGATGGTTGTGTACAGGCACTGCCAACACACATTTCAGTACAATCAACTTGTAAAAGTGCATGTACCATTATATGACCCCTTGAATTATTATTATCATGCTGTAAAGCTGTAAAAGCTAAATTGGTTTATTTTTATTTATAAAAAAATGCCATTATATGAAAACGTATTTTATTGAGAAAATATTTTAGTTTGACTTGTATATTTTTTGATTAGATCAGATTTATGCTCATCTGTCATATGGTCATGTTACAATGTGCCCCTGCATGTTACAATGTAACCCACTTATGGGGCATGTTGTCACATTTCACTTCGAGAAAAGATTTCAAATCAAGAAAAAAAAGCATACACTGTATTAATGAAACAAAACCACATAATTGAACTAGACATGTGTGAAATGAATGCGGGGAAACAATAAATACTCTGAACCAAAGGTAGGTCTTCACAAACTGAAAAAGTAAAAAAAAGCGTTAGGTTGTGCCCCGCTCTCCCCTTTTTCTCAAGAATGATCTGATGTCTGTAACCACTGAGCATCTTAAAAACTTCAGAATCGCAGCCAGTAAACCCAAACAGATATTTTTACTTTTGTCAAATTTTGGTCATTTCCAATAATTTTAATCATAGGCCTGTTACAACCCATGCAGCACAAACCAAAAGTCAAAGAGGCTAAATATATATATTTACAAGAGGAATGTTTCAAACAATCTTGCATAGTAATTTATGCAACTACAAAGTACGTTTTCACGTTATAAAGAAACAAACTCTGACAAACAGAAACCACATCTGCCTGAGTTGTTTCCATCACTTTTTGGATTTTGTTTTAAAAGCCTATAAATTGACGTGTATGTATCCAACCGTGCCAAAGGGCAATCTGACTTTCCCAAAACGAGCCTCAACAGATTGAGCTCGACAATTACCTATAGAAAATCCATTTTAAAAGGTTAATACCTCTGGAAGTCATTTTCTAATTTACACTCTGATTGGCTAAGCACATGCTTCAACTTATTTGAACTTTCTGTAGGGTCACAATACAAGGACAATTAAGTAGCTACATGAACGAACTACAGCTACTTGAGCATTTACACGTTGAATTGGGCAACATTCCGTTTAAGAGGGGTGTGTTTACTAGTTTTTCATCGGAATGTAGGCACACACTGGGCTGAGCTTCAGGTGGACGCGGCGGCACGCAATGCTCATGAGCACATACTCATTCACATCAATAACTCCGACAAACACTGGATCCTCGCAGACGCGCGCGGGCTGTTGGACGGGTAACTCACTGCTACATTGTTATACTTGATGCATGTCTATGTGTTACACTCACAGAAGATGCTCTGTATAACCAAACTGCATGTGTAGCCTACTGTAAACAAATATTTCAATATGATGTTTTCATCCGTTTAATAAGGCACAACAATTTCTGGAGTTTCAACTTGATTTTCTTTATCCGCCACATTCGTGCAATTCATTCATTTGTCACTGCTTTTACTATTAATATAATAAGACAGAAATTGACTGTGACTTAACGATTATGAATTATTATATTATGTTTTTATTGTAGCTATATCCTAAAAAAATATCCCCTTGAGTTATCAATTATGACTCATAATGTTTGTGCAAAGATCAAATTAGAACAAACGCAATATTATCTCTTCTCAGATGATATATATAGCGAGTGAAGGTGTGGACCTGAAAGGGAATGTGAAATCTACCGGAGGATCAAGGGTCCTGACCAAAGCGCCGTTATTTTCGCTCAAGGAAAACGGATGTGTGTGATTGAGAGACTCAGGTAAAGTTCACCTGAAGACAGAAGATCTGAAGTCTGACGCTTATAACCTTACCTTCTGCTTGTGAGGTCGGACTCTGGACACTGATATGAAACTGAAAGCGATTCAGAGGTTTTCTCTATGAAACGGCACCTTGCAATCATGGAGACGCGAGAAGAACCTTAAATAATGCAAATAAGCTGAGACGCTTTGAAGCAGCCTATATTGATGTTCAATTATTCGTTTGTGTTGAGGATTATGTAGGTTTCTGTAAACAGCTCATCCTCTTTGGGTTCAGCGTTTGAGAAAACGTCAGGAAAAGTACCTAGCAGAGGAAACGCTCGTGAAGCATGGATGCAATTAGGTTTCCCGACTTTTTTGATGAGAAAAACGATTGGGATCATACACCTCGTGGTCTTTACTTTATCAGATGAGCCCAGTTTTAGATCTCCAGAGGTTTTTAAGGCGTGACACCTGACGAAGACCTAAAATGCAGAAGTCAAACAACAGGTATGTGGATCACCTCTACTTATGGAAACACGTTGGCCTATTTTGATCTTCTCAGACATTCTCATTTTCTTTAACAGATGTGCTGTTTTATTTGTTGTAATTACTAAGCCAAATTTTATTTCAGCCACAGATATTGAATTAACTTTGCTCATGTTTTTTTCCCCACATAATCAGTTTAACTGGAAAATCACTATATTGATTTATTTTGAATGTTTTTAATATTTTCAACAATAATATAGCTTTTCAGCACAACTGGCAATTTTAAATCTGCAACACCAGATCAAAATAATATCATTATAAGCTTTTGCATTGCTGGTGGCTTGGTGTAGTTTTAGGTTATTCGTCTTGTTAGTAGAATTCTTGGTTGTGCAGAAAAAGAATTCTTGAGTAAAATGGTCTATTCCAGCATCCAGGAAACAGCTGTTTAATCTAATCTTTAAGAGGAGAACAGTTTACTGTTCACATAAACTTGAGGTGCTTCGGCACGACCCATAAACAGATTTAAGACTCCAGTTATGTACAGATTTAGCGCTTTTGTGGTTTGTCTGCCAGAAACCTAATGGTTGCAGAGACCCATTTAATGTTTCTTTCATGTGGCTTCATATGGTTTATACATACATTTAGCATTTCAACCATTATTAATGTGAAATCACATTGTTTTTGTATCACATGCTCATTGGAGGCTCAGGTTTATGTTCTTACCTTTAGGCTACAACAGCAATCAAAACCATCTAAATGAACATCATTATTGTCTTTTAACTATAGACTCCTTGACCCTTGACCTTGACAATAAACTAAGCTCTAATATGCTAGACTGTTAAGTGCAGGTTGTTCATTTTAATTGAGATAATTATGATGCATTACTTACAGTCTGTATATCTTTTTTATCTGGTTTATTCAGTGTCTATGATTAGGAATGGACATGTAAGATTTCATCATACTGTTTTTTTTTATGCGAGTGTATTGTTTATAATTGACCAGTGTCCACTCTAAGTTGACATTCAAATAAACCTTTAGGTCCATAAGCACACGTTAGAGAAGATTAGGAAGAGGAAAATTGTTTGTACACAAATCTGTGCTGGAGAAATGAATATTGTGGGATGTTTACATCAGTTTCCCCCTGTAAACTCACATTTCAAAGTCATAGTCATTGCAACAATGCAAAGAAGACAGTTGGGCTTTAGCAAAGCTGTAAAGAGTTTCTGAGAAGCTGCTCTTTTGATGAGTCAATCGTTGTGTGGTCTCTCAGTATTATGACCTCATTGGTGGGAGTTAGACTCATCCTCTAAAAATGCACATAAACATGTTTTCTCAGTGGCGGTGATTTCTTAATGTATAGGACACACTGTCACTATTTGTTGTCATGAATCAAGAGTCTTTGATGTAGAGCAACAACACTTATACAGTAAGCCCTGAAGTCGCTGTAATTTTAAAGTCAAATGGCATGGTTTGTGAGTGGATTTGTTGATTGATTTACATGATTTATTTTCTCTGTCTCTATAGGAAACTGTCTCTGTGCCAGGTCCTCACCCTCATTACACTGCTGCTGTCTCCAGGTTGCCTGTCATCTATACCTGTAAGATAGTCCCTGTCCCATTATCCTTCAGTTTATAGACTGTTTGCAGAAGTTATTTTGTTAGCCTCTTATATATTATTTTTTAAGGACCACTTTGAACAGTCAGTTGGGTATGCTCAGATTGGCAAGGCTCTCTGCCAAGGTTTTGCTCACTTTAACTAGAGTGTTGTCTTTCCCGTTGATTGCCAAGAGCAGAGCTTAATCAGAGCAATCCGGGCAGGCTCACCCATAGGGGGATTCAGAGACTGGGATGCCACCCTGTATTGTTTCCAAATTGCTGTTTACACACAATGCAGAAATGTGCAGTTACGAAAACATGACGTTTGGCTCATGCTCTCTTTTTAATCTTTAAAGAAATAGTTCACCCAAAAATGCTCAATTCTGTCATCATACTCACTCACCCTCATGTCATTACAAATCTGTAGGACTTTCATTAATCTTTGAAACACATATGAAGATATTTTGGTAACACTTTAATGCATTATTTATGCCTATATAGTAATGCACCTTATAATGCGTTGTATGGTCTCATGAATAATTGTAACCACAGTTATTATACATTATAATATACCTTTAGAAAGTATAATGGATTAAAACCCGAGAAACAACCAATTTCAGATCTGTGAAGATTATGATCCATTTTAACTTCGGTTACAATTATTTATGAAAGGAGATAATGCATTATAACTAAAATTATGAATACCTTTAAAATGCATTATACATAAAGGCTTTAAGAAAATGTATGATATTTGTAATGAAACCTGAGAGATTTCTCCCTCTATTCTATACTATGGTACATGCCACCAAAACTGTGAAGTTTCAGAAATTTCAAAAAGACATCAAGGAAGCGCATTTGATCTTCCGATGATCCAATTTGACGTGCTCTAACTATGCGCATTGATCAATGTTTATATATGAATAAAAGCCTAAGTTAAATCTGTTCATCATATAATATGAATGTGTCTCTTCAGAATAAACCGCTCGATTCATATTAATTACTTTCCATGATAGGTATCAAAGTTTTGGTGGAATGGACTTTCAGTGGAGGGACAGAAATCTCTCAGGTTTCATTAAAATTATGAAAGTGAAAGTCTTATGGTCTTTAAGTCTTTAAGTTTCACTGGTAACTATACAAAATGTTTGCATGCACTACTCTGCCTTTGGTACCTTCTGGACCTCAACCAGTCATTTTCCCAGTTCCCCTCCCAAAGTACGAGATCCAAGCTAGGTCATGTCCACCAGTCATTATCATCCTCATTCCACTGGAATGACTTTCACCATCTGTATTAAAAACACAAACAGGACCCATCGACAGAAAGCCAACAAGTTCATTTTTTAGAATTATGAATTTAATTTCCAAACAAAATCTCTTTCCAAGAAACATACGTGTGTTCCAAGTCAACATGTGTTTTTGCAAATCTTGCCTTTGGGGGGAAGCTGGTGTTCTGAAGGTGAAAGGTCGATTTTATTAATCCGCCTTGCCCACGGGCCCCATGGAAGACTGTCATCAACACTAATTTGAGTCTTTGCTACGGTAATGAGGGCAGTTCCAGGTCATTCTTGTATTGAAGATGATGGACGTCGGTCATAAAGCGCTATTGTGTCTGTGTGTGTTCAGTCATCTGTTATTTTAACCCTCACAGATAGACATCCTGACTCATTATCAGACTTTTATTCACCACAGGTCTTTAGACTAAATAAGGTCAGGAGATTTTGACCATATTCAATGATCTCCTGCCATGATACCCTTATTAGATGAGTCCAACCAAACTTCTCTTTTTTTAACATTTCCATTGAAAGGGTTAATCCTTTGGAACCGGTACAAAGCTCTGCACCAAAAAGCAGTCATATGTGTGCCAGTAAAACATCCCTTTAGGAATCAAACTTTGGAATGCAAGTTCAATGCTCTGTTTGTACTGCGAAATAATTTCATTTTGTTGCAATGTGTTCTCATGTGACTCTTGGTGTTGCTCAAATTAGATTTACGTGATATCATGGATGAATATTATTTTAGGAAGACAAACAGCTGCTGTGCATGAAGTTGTTTAACATGATAGAAGCAGAAAAGCATGCTCTACACACCTACATTACATTTACAAGAATATACACACACACCTTCAGGGGACGGTTAGCAACCTATGGAAGCTCCTCATTCTTCACGGGCTGTTACTGCCTGTTTGTCTCGGATCAAAGCCAGCAGCGGATCTAAGAATGACAGAGTAATGTTATCCTTGAGGACTATTAGTGGTGGTCTGATAGGAATACCGCTTGTGTAATGTAGGCTGTTTGCAATAGAGCTAATGTGGCGTCCTCAGTCGCGCACCTGGGGAACACTCAAACACTTCCACAAATGTCAAGTGCAGTCTAGCATAACCGATGAACAGGAAATGTTTTGGTGGCCTCTTATATCATGTGTCCTGAGCACTAGTGAGCAATAATTTCGGCTGTAAGCACAGGATAGCTTCAGTTTAGTGCTTAAAGTGTCATGAAACCCCCTGTTTTATCACTGGTCGTTGTCGTTCACACCACAGATTTGAAAAAGACTCAAGAAATGGGTGTGTAAAGCTGTGGAAAAGTGGAAGTGTAGAGGTTGGGAAGAGAAGAGAAAACAACCAATAAGACCACTAACAACTATCATGAACAAATCAAACAAACGAGCACTACAGTCTCTTAACACAGACTGATCTCATGAAATGGCGTATGTATGACACGCCAATTCGTATTTCCATTTTTGGCGTGCTATCAACACGCATAATCGCTTTTCAGCGTGTTTATCAACGCCTTTGACTTAACGTTATATTAGGCTACTGTATTATGTATATATAAATATATGACCTACCCCAACCCCGTCCCTAAACCTACCCGTCACTGGGGTTAATACCATTTATGAGTGTTCTCCTACCATCCTAGGAAAAGAAATATCGCTCCACAGATGTAGATATAGATTTTGCTTCGTTTCGCTCGGACATTTAACGGCGTACACATACACGCGGAATCACTCGGACATTTAATGGCGTAGACATACACGCAAAAGATTTCGGCGTGGACATACACGCGGATAGTTCAAAATGCGTATAGATAACACGCCACTTGAATTGAAAGTGGCGTGTATGTTTACGCAAAGTCATGATGTCATGTGAACAAATGGGCATGGCACACATCCGTTTAACACAGAAATAATAAAGGCATAGTTACTTTTTTGTCCATTCTTCATTGAATTTTCGGTCTACATCATTGTCTTCTGTGTATAAGAATAATCCATCGTGTCGTCGCATTCATGATCAGAAGTACTGCTGTATAAGTGTCCTAGTTATTTGCACATAGGCTATATATTTAATTTGAAGAAGACTTGATGTGTGCGCAATCGTAGCATGTTCTCGCTACATCTAAAGCACATACTTGCGCTAATTTACACAAAGGATTCGCACATTCGCTTTGACGCGTCCAGTCTAGACATGGCACAATAACTGATTTTACCTTTTAAAGCACAATTGCTGTGACAAATAAAGGATATCATATCATGTATAATACCAAATATAAGCCCAAATGACCATCAGTGATGGGGTTTTGTGAGTGGATAATGCAAATAAAAATCTTCCAATGCTGAAAAATACATCTTTGCTTTTCTTTTGGATGCTCTAAGTTACTTTTACAATCAAAAACGATTAAGTCTGATTCATATGAAATATTATTTGTGTGACCAAATGTTTTAACCGAAAAATAAATAAATATGCATAGCTTGTCTGCTGGGCATTTCACTTTTAAATTTATGCTATGATCTCTTTGGAATGCAACAACCCGTCACATGGTTAAAAAGAACCTATATCTTCTCTACAAACAAAGAGTATCATAATTAAATTATGTATTTAATGTTTAAAATATAACGAAATGGCTCCAAAAAATTAAGACCCCCCCCCCCCCCCCCCCCCCCTCCCCGCCACACACACACACACACACACACACACTTTCCCCTTAATAACAAACATAATGAGTGCTATTGTCACTGATGTGCTTGATGTGCAACCTGTACATATCTGTTAACTTATCAACAAATGTTTTAGGGTTTCATGATCCTTTAACATACATCAAATGGCCTAATAACTAAAATCCCTCTACAAATATATATATTTTACATACTGTTGTTCTAATGAATGAGCTTGCCAAAAACACAAGTTAGTTGATCAAATCTGCCACCATGCTGTCTCTCTTTGTTGTTGTTCTGCAACCTTTCATGCACTTTGTTGTTTGTATATTTGCAGTCATCCCGACGAGTAGAGATGGGACGTGAGGGGCCACAGATGCGTAGCCAAATGCATTTCATGAATGAGTGGGCCTCGTGGGGCGGTTGGTCTGTATGTTCGCTCTCCTGTGGTGGAGGGGCCTCTGTCCGTACACGCACCTGCATCACCAGGTTGAGTCCATCACACCATCTTCTCTGCTGTCAGATAATGATCATACATGCGTTCCCTTTAAGGGTACTCCAGCGACAAGCTGTTGTAGCCCTAAATGTTCAATTTTAGAAAAAAAAAATTCCGACAGTGAAAAATGCAAGAACACATCCTTTGTGAATGGCCTTTTGGTGTTCTGCTTGATCATGCTCATGTGATTTGTTTATAACGTTAAATACACTAATTTGTTGCATCTGACATCTTTGTTATTTTCTCTCTCTCTAGAAATCTGGTGGGAGGGCCGTGCCCAGGGGACACCAGGCAATACAAGATTTGTAACACAAAGGTGCAGTAAATTCTTTACAGTTAGAACAGAAAGTCTAAATATTCAGTAACACCTTATCCTCAGTGCATAATATCGATAGCATTTATGTGCAATTAGTTAAGTAATTCTACAGTGTATTCTATTGTATTTATTGATAGACAAAGAGGTCATCTGGCCTCCAACATATCAGATTTCGAATGGATGGTCTTCAATTTCATAACTTCACTTCATTATTATATATCACTTACTACATAAGTGTGTTGATGCACGCTAAAGTTCCCCTGTTTTGCTTTTTCGAATATTACCTTTCATGCAGTGTGTAATATAGCTGTTTGTGAATGTAAAAGGTCTGTAAAAGTTTTAAAGATCGAAGTGCAGGAAACACAAAGTTATTGTTTCCTAAAAGAAACAATCGATTCTGAACTGCCTGAAACAAGTAATTTCGAGCAATTGCAGTTAACACTTCCTGTTACTAACCTACATAACAATGTAACAAATTTGCATAGTGGCAGCCTTCGTTCTTCATTGGCTGCCTGCAAACGTCTACTTTGATCCACCCTCAAACACTGCATTTGTAGCTGAGGCCTGGAAGAGTTTGGTCCGTGTTGTCAACATGTCGAGGAGATGCTATATTTAGCGCTGTGTGTGCACTTCAAAAGGATGAAGACTTAATTGCAATGGAATTGATACGGAAAAAACAAACGCTATTGTTCCGGTTCGTATTACTGCGTACACAAGTGCTGAGGAAGCATCCGGAGGTGAAATTCAGATATGGTTATGGCTGTTTCGTTTCTGACACACTCTGTAAGCGGTAGACCAATCACAACAGACTGACCAAACAGTGCAGAGAAAGCTCGTGGAAAGGAGGGGTTTAGAGAGAGACTAAATCTTCAAACAAACCATTTTCAGACTCTTTGAGAATTGAAGTGATGTGCAATGTATGTTATGAGAAACTTGAGAAAAGTGTTTTTTGACCTTGAATGCATGTAAACCTATTGTATGAGAACTCCAAAACAAAATGAGGAACTTTCTAAATGGCATAATTGGGGGACTTTAACATTATAACATAACACCAAAAAGTAAAAAAAAAAAAAAAAAAAAAAAAAAGGCCACAAAACCCAAACAGTATTTGTACATGCAAAATTAATTAATTAAAATGAAATTTAAGTCAAGATGCTATATTTGCTTTGGATGTGCATGCTTTACTTGATCTACCACTATATTGATGTCAGGCAAACCGAAGTCTTGTGCATGTAAATGTATAGATCATGGCAAAGACATAATGGCAAATGGCAAATAATGGTTTTAATATAAAGTCCCTCGTAGTCAATCATTTTATCCCTTAAAACTCATATTTAAAAGTTTTTTCCTTGAAAAAAAATTGTCATGCCTTAAAATAGCTTGAATGTAACTCTACACCCTTGCCTCATTTAGTATACACAGTTCAATTAATGTATTAGCCCCGCCTCCACTCACTCAAACCAGCTCAGAGATCCACTCATTGAGGATCACAAGTTGACGTGATTGGGTAGTTTGTGACGTCAGTTTGTGGGTAGTTTGTGGTAGTTTATGTAGTTTGTGACGTCAGAAACACTAGCAATTTCAAATAGCATTTTTGAGACTGTCTTTGCAGTTTTAAGGATATAATACTCAGCAATAGTGTTGACTTATGCATTTGCACGTCTTAAAGCATATTAAAAACACCACATAGACATATAACAACATTAAAACTTTGATTTTCACCACAGGGGGACTTTAAAACCCCCTATTTTAGTACATTTGATGATTAACAGATGAGTAAGCGGCCCTTCACTGTTATCTGCGATGCCTTGAGGTGTGCTGGCGTTTACAAAAACAATAATGGTGATATGTTCCTGACTACCTCTGAATGTGGTTTAACTGAGCAGATCACAAATGATTTGTACCCCATTTACCCATAGTTATCCCATCACCCAGGACAGATGTTAATACCAGGTTTAAATGGGGTCATGTGTCAGCACACAGATGCATGTGTTGTGTTTATCCTGAGTCCTCCAAAGCTGTTCTAATGATTTTGAAAGTGTTAATGAATCAGGGCTTTAGGAGCTTTAGATGTGCGTATTTTCTCTCCTGAGCTTTGCGTCTGTAACATCAGGAGTGTCCTGCTGACTCTATGGACTTCAGAGAACTGCAGTGTAAAGCTTTCAATGACAGACCCCTGGTCGCTGGCAGCAGTTACCATTGGACTACCTTTCATGGAGGTCAGTGAAGCATGACTCTCCTCTTTGAAGCATGTGTTGTGTTACTGTGTGGATTTCTCCTTCTGCTACGTGCTTATACTGACTGAAACCTGATTTAAATCTTGCTTTCAGGCTCCAACCCATGTGAGCTCAGCTGCCTGGCGATTGGACACAACTTCTATTACAACTTTGGACGGGTGCTTGATGGCACATCATGCCAATCAGATCAGGGGACAGTCTGTGTGAATGGAAAGTGTCTAGTGAGTAGCTGTTTTTAAGTTTCATTGCTAATAATCACAAAATGTACACCCTCACCAAAAATGTGCAGGTTTTGCTTTGAAGAGCTATTTCTACCTATTCAGATGACATTTAAAAATGACTTTTGTTAGGAGTGCCACTTATAAAAAGAAGGAACAATTTACCAATGAATTATTAAATAACTCAAACATAAAAAAGTAAATATATAATTTATTTTTAAAGACAAATAAATAGACAATTTCTTTTTTTAAATATAGCCTAACATAATTAAATTGACTAATAGATATATTTAACAGTCCTTTTTTATTCATGTTTCAAATAAAAATCAGTTTTAAATGAAAATCATTCAGGTTTATTCTGGATTTTGGAGTTAACTAAAACCAGTTTATTCAGAAGTCTCAACGTAAAGCATCTTTTTAAGTTACCTTATAAAACATTTTTACTGTGCTTTTGTCCTGTTCACACACTTCTAATCATGTTTTGGCAGAGTATTTTGGACATGTGGTAACCATATATATCATAGTATTATCATCTGATACCATCAAAGTATCATGGTTTCACCACAGGGTTTTTTTTTGTTGTTGTTGTTTGTTTTGTTTTTTGCCAGTACAATTAATATTTACATATTACAAGAAACTGTGAGCATATACCTGAGACCCACACAGCATTTGATCACTGGATTTACAGAAATCTTTTTACTTTTAAAAAGTGTTTTCTCAACATTGCAACATAGCATATCTAATCAACTCCTGACAAACACGTTAATCATTATTTAAATTATCACTCTGTGAGTCATTTAACTATGTATTACTGTCTTTGAAAGGCTTTTGTCTTTCAAACACATTAATGTACAATTTTTAATATATGTACCCCCCTGGCTGAGATTTTTAAGTTAATGTGTTAGGTAAATAATACAATTAAGTCAATAATAATAAATGATAAAATTAAGTTCACGGTTCTCTGACGTTGGTTAATGGTCACATGACATGCAGGTAAACAAATTTAAAAAAAGTTTTTTTTATTATTATTAAGTGTTTTATTTTTAAATTATCTATTTTAATTTGACATTTTTATGATTTAATTACTTAATGGCTTTTCATTAAAGAACTCCAGTAATATTTAATGCACTTCATGCTGTTGGTAACAAAGAACTGAAGAAATATATTTATTTATATCAATATGGTACAAGATTGTCATATATAAGTAAGTGTGTGTGTGTGTGTGTGTGTGTGGGTGTGGGTGTGTGTGTGTGTGTGTGTGTGTGTGTGTGTGTGTGTGTGTGTGTGTGTGTGTGTGTGTGTGTGTGTGTGTGTGTGTGTGTGTGTGTGTGTGTGTGGACTAAAAGAGAAGTACATGCATAGTGGGGCCCAATAGCAGCATGTGGCAGATTGAATCCATATGTGTGAAGCACACCTTGTGTGTGTGTGTGTGTGTGTGTGTGTGGTTGCCCCTCTGTGAGGCCCCCTCAATCATGGGAATGTGCCATTGAGAATCATTATTGCACAAACTACTGAGATTAAGAGAGGATGGGTAGAGAAAGGCAAAGATAAAGATAAGGACTAGGAGAGACATAACAGGAGGTCACGCATTAGGAGGAGGGTTGCACCTGCGTGGAAGGGAGTGCATGACAGGTCTAAAAAGAAAGAGGGGCTTAATTATATCCTGCAGGAGTTGCTGAGGACAGTGTAGTCCTTCTACCTCTGATGTCTCCTCCTCCACCCCTGCTCTCAGGAGCTTAAGCCAAACTTCTGCCTGAATGCTCGTGATCCCTGCCTGGGCCTCATGATCCTACTCTTGTTTGTGTGTGGTGGCTCAGAGAGAGATCTCTGTCATTCTGCTGCCCATCTGTTTTCACCTGCCTCTGTTTGGACCTGTGGACCTACACACAAACACACACACACACACACACACACACACACACACACACACACACACACACACACACACACACACACACACACACACACACACACACACACACACACACACACACACACACACACACACACACACACACACACACACACACACACACACACACACACACACAAAGGACGGTGCAGCTTTACTTAAGGTTATCTCCAGTAGTGGAGGTTAAAGCAGATTGTGTTGTCACTACTGATAGTCTTTGATCCCTAGCGAGATTCCTATTGGTTCCCTCAGGGAACGAGGGTTACCATATGTAACCGAGACGTTCCCTATCGGTCAGTCACTACTACGTAGGTCATGACTGACCAATAGGAATCCCTAGCAAAGCGCCACAGCTGCTGCATCCGATCCAGCGCCCTGTGCAAGCCTCTACAACTTCTTGCCTAGAAGGACGATAGGAGGAGGCTTACACAGAGTGTATCTGTCACTGTTGTTCCGTAATAACCCATACAGTGAGATTATTGGATAACACTGGGAAAGCGTGCCCTTCAGTTAGAAAGGAGGACGCTGCAGAAGCCACTTACTTCAAGGAGTTATGTGGGGAATACATATGGACTAGCCCGAAGGCTGTACTACATATGAGATAGTGGGTGACTTAGCCCAAGGGAAAGACATGGGGTTCCGTTAGGAGCAGCCGTGGAGAATATACACATATGGGATCCCCGTAGGGTCACACATATGGAACCCAGCCCAGAACCGGTTCTCAAGGATTCAGCGGATAAATGCCTGGTGCCAGACGCTCCGCCATGTCCGGGCCGAGGGGTGGTGGAGGACTCAACAGGTTTTTACTCTGGAGCAATAAGGGTGCACAGTAGGGTGCAGCAAGCCGACAGAGCCGGACCTCTCGGTGCTTCTACCCGTTTAGGTTGAGAACACGGGAGGAGACCGGCTCTACACGTAGGCTATAATATCTAGCCAACGTGTTAGGTGTCGCCCAGCCCGCAGCTCTACAGATATCTGTTAGCGAGGAGCCACGTGCCAGTGCCCAGGAGGATGCAACGCCTCTCGTGGAGTGTCCATGCAACCTGGTAAGGGCACGCCTTGCGCTTGATAAGCCAAGGTGATGGCATCCACTATCCAGTGGGCCATCCTCTGCTTGGAGACAGCCTTTCCCTTCTGCTGGCCTCCGTAACAGACAAAGAGCTGGTCTGAGGTCCTGACGCTTTGAGTTCTGTCCACGTACATACGCAGAGCACGAACGGGACAGAGCAAAGCCAGGGCTGGGTCTGCCTCCTCCAAGGGCAGCGCTTGCAGGTTCACTGCCTGGTTCCTGAAGGGAGTGGTAGAAACTAGGGATGTCCCGATCAGGTTTTTTGCCCCCGAGTCCGAGTCATTTGATTTTGAGTATCTACCGATACCGAGTCCCGATCCGATACTTATATAATACATATTATAATACAATATAATACAAGAATAAAGAAGAGAGAAAAAACACATCCAGGATGTTCCTTATTTTTTATTTAATTCATCTTATTTTAACATTCAACAACTCTGTTAACAAACAGAGCACTTCTGTGAGGTAGCTTGGACAATCAAGTAATAAATAACATAAATTCTTCACTTTTGGACTTTAGTGCAACAGTAAATATAGAAAAAGTCTAATATAAAAACAAATAGCACCTTAACTTAAAATACCCGGCAGGCATGTAAACAAAAAATAAAAATGTTTTAAAAGTGTATAAAAAATAATGAGAATATATATATACATTAGGGGTGTAACAGTTCACAAAATTTGCGATGCGGTTCGATACGATACAGCAAAAAGAAAGAAATGCCAGAGAAATTTCTTATTTATTAAAAGAAAAACTATTTTTAAATAAGTTTGAGTTTTCCTACATCTTGAAACTTACAGGTTTATAAATGGGGGTAATCTTTGAAGGATGAACAAATAATGTTTTGGTAATCACATTAAAAATAACATTTAAATATAGATTTATATAATATTTGAGTTTTGAAGTGCAACATTAAATCCATGTTCATTCACGGCACAATGTTTCTCCTGGTTCCCACGTCAGCGCTGTTTGATCTAATAGAGATCTACGGTTAATAACGGAGAAATGTGAATGCTTCTCACTAGATCTCGCAGCGATGTTATTACTTCAGTGGCGAATTCAAATGTTTTCTTCACTTGATCTCTTAGCACAGTGTCGCTTGATCTCGCGCTGCACAGATGTTGCTGGTCCGAACTGATAAATGTTCCGTTAAGCACAATATAATGAGTAGCGCAGTTTCGTTCCGCTTTCATTACGTTTGCCATTTGATGTTGCGCAACGTTGTGGTGATCGCACCAGCGCGGATTTTGTCTGCAGGAAAAATGGTCCTAGGAATCGTTGGGTTTGTATGCGTACCGAACCGGAAGCCTCGTACTGAAACGGTTCAATAATTACGAATACATGTACCGTTACACCAGAAAATGCGTCGACAGAAAATGCGTGCAGGTCCCCTACCCTCTTGACAGAGGCCAGTGCAACCAGCAGCAAAATCTCCATGGAAAGAAGCTTTAAGTCTACTGATTGCAAAGGCTCAAAGGGAGCATCCTGAAGTGCTCAAAGCACCAGGGAAAGGTCCCAAGAAGGTAAGGAGGGGGGTCGAGGAGGATTTAATCGTCTCGCCCCCCTAAGGAACCTGGCGACCAGGTCGTGCTTTTCAACTGTTTTGCCATCTATGTGGTCGTGAAATGCTGAAATAGCTGCAGCATGTACTTTGAGGGTGGAGTGAGACTTCGCTCTAACCCTTGCTTAAAGAAGGAAAGCACAGACCCTATCGACATCTTCGGGGGTCTTCTTGATGAGAAGAACACCACTCGACGAACAGGTTCCACTTCAGGGTGTAAATCTCATGGACGGCGCCCGTGCTGAAGTGATGGTGTTAAGTACCTCTGGGGGTAAGTCACCTAGAACCTCAGCGTCCCATCCAGGGACCAGACATGGAGTTTCCAGAGGTCTGGACGCGGGTGCCATAGGGTCTCAGATCCTTCAGAAGATCCTTCAGAAGTCAGAAGACCCTTCCTCAGAGGAATGGGCCAGGGAGGGACTGTCATGAGGAGCATGAGTTCTGGGTCCAAGTCCAGGTGGGCCAATAGGGAGCCACCAGAAGGACCTGCTCCTCGTTCTCCCTGACACTCTGCACAGGGGAGAGTTTGCTCTTTTCCCAACACCTTTTGTGTTGTGTTGTGTTTCCCAACACTTACCTGGTTCCACGGGGCAGGAGGTGCAGGAGGCGGCTCGTGGCGTTCTTGGACCGCACACTGCTGCCCGCTGGCGATAGAAGAGGCAGATGAGAGTGGTGAGGATTCTCTCCTCCCACTGCTCTCCGGGCCCTCTTCGGACCCAGAGATGAAGGAAACTGCTCTTATATTGAAAATTTGGGTACCGCTGGTTTTTGAGGCCAGCGGCGGAACACAAACAGAAGATTTTTCCACCCGGCCCTTTTCCGGGGGAGGAGCGCTGCGCTCACCGTCTCCTGGAGAGCAGTCCCATCCATCACCACGGCGCCGTTTAGGTGGAGGCTGCTGCTGCGGCGCGGGAGCACGGGCAGACGCAGGAGGACGCCCCCGGCGACGAGCAGACTGAGGAGCAGGATGTATTTGATAGCCTCTGCTTTTGTACAGCCAAGAACTCCTGTGCGAAGTTCTCGACCGCGTCGCCGAAGAGGCCGGTCTGGGACACAGGGGAGTTAAGGAACCGGAGCTTGTCGGTCTCTCTCATGTCAGCCAGACACAGCCAGAGATGGCGTTCCTGGACCACCAAGGTGGACATCGCACGACCCACTGACCGCGCGGTGACCTTCGTCGCACGAAGCGTGAGGTCCGTTGCGGTACGAAGTTCTTGGAGAACTTGTGGATCATGACCACCCTCGTGCAGGTCCTTCAGTGCCTTGGCCTGATGGACCTGCAGCAACGCCATGGCGTGCATGGCAGAGGCAGCTTCCCCACAGGCCTTTTAAGCCTCGTCGAATAGGTCCGGCGAGTACCTACAGGCCCGGGAAGGAAGACACGGTTCTCCGTGCCAAGTGGTGTTAGGGCACAGCTGCCCGCTCCACTGGCGGGACACGCGTGTATCCCTTAGCTGCCCCGCCATCAAGGGTGGTGAGGGAGGAGGAGCTACTGAGACGGTTTCTGGCAGTAAAAGGTACCGTCCACGTCCCCGTGAGCTCCTCATGCACCTCCGGGAAGAAAGGTAATGGGGTGGGTTGCTGAGAACCAGCGTGCACCACCCCGAGATACCAATCGTCCAGCCTCGAGGGCTCGGGACACAGTGGAGGGTTCCATTCGAACCCGATCCTGTTGACGGCCCCCGGAAAGCATGGTCATCATCTCTGGGTCCGAGTCGGGCACCTCTGGCACAATTGAAAGAAGGCAGCGGCTCCAAGCCGTCGTCTGCGGAGAAGTCTGACCCACCCTCCAATGCAGCGATCGACATCTGATCGTCGCGGTGAGCACCAAATGAAACGACTGGTACACACCTCGAGGATGGTCCAGCACGTTCCTTTGGTGGCTCAACTGGCTGCGGAGCGTGAGAGGGGTGAGGGTTCCTAGGAGGTTGGTTTCCCGAAGGAAGCGCGCTCACCGTAATCCTCAGGTCTCCCGTGTCACTGCCCAAAGCAACCCTCTGAGGAGGATTGGATCGAGGCAGAGGCACGGGGACTCCGCCCCTTTGCAGGAACGAGAGTCTCGACCGCAGTTCCTAGATGGTCATCTTCCATTAATGGGTACATGACTCATCCACGAGCGCTGCCTCAGCGTGTTCGAGGCCCAGACACACGAGGCAGCGATCGTGACCAAAACCCGTGACCCCAGGTAACGACCACATCCAGAAACACACAGATAGAATGTCATCTTGAAAAAGACGCGAACTATCTGTGTAAGCTCTTTTAGAGACTGCTCTCCTTAATGCTGAAGCACGCAGGGGAACGGTCACCGCGAACACAGACAGGAATGTGCATCTGTCTGTGCGCTGTTCTCTCTCGCTTGTCTTACCAGCCGTGAAAACGGCTGTTGAGCGCTCTTCACCGCGCACCTTACCAGCTGTGAAAAAAGAGTGAGAGAAAAGAAGACCGCTCGCGCTGGTGGGCTGTCACGCGGCACGCCCGCACCAAAGTGGAGAGATCCAGAAGAGGGTTACAGATTCACTCTGTGTAGTCAGCATATGAAGTGCTTGGCTCCGAAGCAAATACCCACGCTGCGAGGCTGCACAGCTGATGCAAATGATTGCACGCCAATGTGCATTGGCTTGTTTTAGTTTCACTCGAAGTAGATTGGCCTCTCTAGCGAGATTCCTATTGGTCAGTCATGACCTACGTAGTAGTGACTGACCGATAGGGAACATTTCTTATTATCAATGTTGAAAACAGTTGTGCTGCTTAATGTTTTTGTGGAAACAAATCCTGATACATGTATTTCAGGATTCCCTGATGAATAAAACAAGTTCAAGAGAACAGCATTTATTTAAAATAGAAGTCTTTTGTAAAATTATAAAGGTCTTTTTACTTTTTCGTCACTTTTCATCAACTTAATTGCATCCTTACTGAACAACAGTATTAATTTCTTTAACAAATCTTACCAACACCCAAATTTTTAAACTGTACTGTACATATTCCAAAACAATAATTAAACATTTAATAGCTGTAAATGACAATAAACACAAAAACAACACCACAAGTAAAAGCAGCAAACGATAATCTGCAATCTGCATTACAGGTATGTATGCTTCTTTACATGCTGGGAACAGAAGTAGGATTACAGCATGAGAGGCAATTTACAGTGTTAAATTCATTACACTTAATACAACCACTCTGATTATACTTATGATTAAAGAAATCAAGTTGAAACTCTGAAAACTGATGAAAACAAACATGGTGCTATTAAAATGATGAAACGCATTTATTTTGAGGATCTTTAATCTTGGATGCTTCTCTCTTTAGTAGTGTCTAAATTTATTTCTTGGAAAATCTCCAAGATTCTGTAGGCCATGAGCTGTTCCAGTTTTTATCAGGAGTGTTGTGGGATCAGCTTGTACTGTTGAAACAGAATGTGACGGTGCTTGATATTTTGCCTTCTAATCGCAGGGTTTGTGTGTGTGTATGTGTGTGTGTGTGTGTGCGCAGAAGCCAGGATGTGACTTGATCTTTGGATCACAGCAGCAGGAGGACGCCTGCATGGTGTGTGGAGGCCACAACTCAACCTGCCTTCATCACAGAAGTGTTTATCAAAGCAACGGGCAGAACAATGGTCAGCTATGAATCCAAATACACTCTGACTCAGTAGAACAGAAATCAATAGTTTTATTTCAACATTAATATAAGAGATGTGAATAAACCCTTGTGTGAATCTTGTTATTCAGAGCACTGAAACTGTAAAATCGGGCTTTTACTCCAGTCTTCAGTGTCACATGATCCTTCAGAAATCATTCTAAAATGCTGATTTGCTGCTCAAGAATAGTTTTTTTTTTACTATTATCAATGGTAAAAACAGTTGTGCTGCTGCTTAATATTTTTGTGGAAATTGTGATACATTTCTTTCAGGATTCTTTGATGAATAGAAAGTTTAAAAGAGAGAATGTTTTTCTGTAACAATCTAAATGTCTTTACTGTCCCTTTTGGTCAATTTAATCCATTCTTTAAAAAAAAAATCGTACTGACTTCAAACTTTTGAAAGGTAGATTAAGTGGATTCTTGCAGACAGTGACCTCTCTTTCCCTTCTTTATCTTGTCGTTTCTCTCTCTCCTACACACTTAGAGCACTGACACCTCTGCCTTTGAACTTCTCCGCATGAAACAGAACCTCTTTTAAAAGCGTCCTTCACGCTGGCCGACTGAAAATACAGAGTGTTTACATCGGGGAAAACAAAGTCATAATACTGTTATTGTTAGGCTATCCGAATACCACTCCGTTTCCCCCTCTCTTGCATGTGGATTTCTTAGAGTAATATAACAGATTCGAGGTTGCCAGCACAACGCTCTGTAAAGAGGGTCAAAAGTCAAAGGAGAAAGGAAAAGTTCAGCCTGGGTCGTAATTCTGGAGTTCAGTGCCTTCCAGCTAGACCAAGTCCATGTTGCGGCTGCAGCAAGACACAGCATGGAAACATATAGTCTTGTTACGTGCAGGATTGCGCACCTGTTGGAAATAACTGTGGGGTTTTTTTTTTCAAATGGGCTGAGGCGCATTACTCTCTCATCTGTGTTTCCCTGCAGGACTGTTTGGGTATAGTGAGGTCACTATGATCCCGGCCGGAGCCACACACATCAGAGTGACTGATAACAGCAGAAACTATCTAGGTTAGAGAACAGCCTTGCGTGTGATCTCTCCACCGGAGGTTCAACATGTGTTTCTCAAAGCAAAAGTAAAAAAAGGTGCACAGTGTGAGATAGAACTGTAGATGACTACAGACAAAAGCATTTACTTCGCATTTATTAGTGCGATAAAATAAGCCTAATGTATTGGACAACTTGCAGTAATTTTTCACACTTTTCTTGCAGTAACAAAACAGTTTGTGCACTGTATGAGAAAATGACAATAATGCTGTGTAGTCCAATGTTTTTAGGGAAAAAAAATCACCTTTTTGAAACATTTTTTAAAAGCACTCCAGAATGGGCGCTCTCAGTTTGTGATCAATGGGCACTGGAAGATCAATATTCCTGGAGAGTACAACATTGCAGGAACCAAACTGCTGTATCGCCGCTCTGCCGATACCTGGGAGAGTTTTGAAGTTCCAGGACCTACTCAGGAGGACCTGCACATCATGGTAAGCTTCAGTTCATGATTCTTAAAGGGTTAGTTCACCCAAAAATGAAAATTATGTCATTAATGACTCACCCTCATGTCGTTCCAAGCCCGTAAGACCTCCGTTCATCTTCGGAACACAGTTTAAGATATTTTAGATTTAGTCTGAGAGTTTTCTGTCCCTCCATTGAAAATGTGTGTACGGTATACTGTCCTTGTCCAGAAAGGAAATAAAGACATCATCAAAGTAGTCCATGTGACATCAGTGGGTTAGTTAGAATGTTTGAAGCATCGAAAATACATTTTGGTCCAAAAATAACAAAAACTACGACTTTATTCAGCATTGTATTCTCTTCCGGTTCTGTTGTCAATCCGCGTTCACGAGTCCGCAGTGGCGCTGCTGACGTAAGACGCTGCTGACTAAGATCTGGTGCGTCCGTGTATTCAGGTTCAAATAAATATGGCTGGGCAAAAAAATGCAAATCTTCCTCTGTGTCGAAATCCTTAGACATGTTTGCAAAGATTGTTTTGTTTACAGCGTGCGTCTCCCTCAGACTGTGAACGAAGCTCTTTCGCACCAGACACACGTCAGCAGCGTCACTGAACGCGGCTCGACAACAGAACCGGAAGAGAATACAATGCTGAATAAAGTCGTAGTTTTTGTTATTTTTGGACCAAAATCTATTTTCGATGCTTCAAAACATTCTAACTAACCCACTGATGTCACATGGACTACTTTGATGATGTCTTTATTTCCTTTCTGGACAAGGACAGTATACTGTGTATACATTTTCAATGGAGGGACAGAAAACTCTCGGGACTAAATCTAAAATATATTAAACTGTGTTCCGAAGATGAACGGAGGTCTTACGGGCTTGGGACGACATGAGGGTGAGTCATTAATGACATAATTTTCATTTTTGGGTGAACTAACCCTTTAATGCCTAGCAGCCCATTTTTGTTCATTGGTACTGATTTGATTGTAGGTCTTGTCAACTGATAAGAACTCTGGGATAGAATATGAGTACTGGCTCCCTCCAGACCGATACGCCCTGTACCACGGGAGAAGTCAACTCCGGCAGCCTCACCACACTGCAAACCACTTGCCATTCGAACCTCCAACCACTATGACGACCACAACCACAACCACTACTACAACACATCCAGCCACAAAACCTTTTTTCTGGGGTAAAAACCTTTCATTCCTGGTATTTAGGAATCTATCAAGCTTTTAGTATTTAGAAGTATTATCTGTGCTGTGAATAGATCTTGAGATAAAGTTATAGATTGAATGTCGAGTCCATTTGAAGTACTACATGTGGTGGTTAGTATTTGGCAGAAATGTCCCATTTGCTTAAAGTGTAATGTTCGGAGCCTTTTGTAAATACAACTGTGATTTACGAGGTCATGATCTCAGGTCCCGCTGCTCGCTGGCCCCTTCAGCCCCCCTATCAACAGCAGCCAGTCCCACGTTTGGAAAGAGATGAAAACCGCAGGAACCGACTGCCTGAAATACATCATAGAGGTCAGAACTTTATCATTGCCATTAGTGTTGTCACGAGACCAACATTTTTGTAGTCCGTACCGATACCAGTACAATTTCACAGAACTCAACAATATTTTGGTACTACCAATGGAACTATTTAACTATTTTTGGTAACACTTTATTTTGATGGTCCCTTTTGAACATCCTGTTGACTATAAGTAACTTTGCAACTACATGTCAACTAACTCTCATTAGAGTATTAGTAGACTGTCTGCTTAATATCTGCCAACTCTTTATTGTGATGCTCCTCCAACAGACAATCTACTGACTGTAAGTAACTTTTGCAACTACATGTCAACTTATTCTATCCCTAACCCTACCAGTCTACTAATACTCTACTAACACTCTAGTGAGAGTTAGTAGAGATGTAGGTGCAACGTTACTTATAGTCAACTGAATGTATTAAAGGGACCATCCAAATAAAGTGAAACCCTATTTTTAAATAAAAATAAATAAATTAGTTAATTATTATGAATAATAATAATAATAATTAAATAATACATAAATACATCAAATATTTGTATATTAATTAAATAAACATTGCTCAAGTAAAATGGTCGAGATTTGAGCAATGTTATTAAAATGAAGAACAAAGAAATAATTACACTTTATATTGAACGTAGATTTTTCCCCCCGTCCGCTGCTATATTGTTATCATTATGCATATCATCGCAATTCTGAATTCAATACGGTTGTCTTTCCCAAAACTTTGCAGTGCGTAGCAGCATGAAAAATAACTATTATTCAAATTGTAAATGGGTTATATACAGAAAGCGAGGAAAAGAGCGCTCCCTTTTATAATCACTAAAGCTGTCCATCAATCATTTAGTCAAAGACTTTATATATACAGAAAGACGATTCACTCCTATTACTTATGAATGGGAGTGAGAACGGGTAACGTGCAAATATGGTGGTCCAACCTTCTAAAGAAAAGAGCCAATCGCCGATTGGTAAAGTCATCGCGTCACTGCAGCTGGCGTTAGAAGAAGACGCACGTTTAAGACGGCGCATTAGTATCTTTTGTCATGATTCGAGATACAGTAATTTATGCGTATTTGGCGTGCTGTCCGGGGGAGGGCTCCGAGCTCGGAATTTGGCCCGAACCCAGAGTACTACCCCCTTTTGACTGGGATAGAAAACCAGCCAAGAGTGAGGTGATGGGGTGGTGGAGGGGTGCTGTGAAACTGTCAGGGGACAGATGTGAGGGAAGGCTATATTTATACCGGGTTCCTCTTGTGCTGATTGGTTGATTACCTGAACGGGCTCCTCCCGAAGTTTAATCGTAAGCTTGGCGAACAGTTTTGGAGAATTTGATGTTTCCCCATTCAAAGAGATATGAGCTGTACTTGCATGACTGAAATAGATGCCCGAGAGAAGTTTCAAAGATGGCCACCGAGTGAAATTGCGTACATGTGCTAAGATGTCTATGATTGGCTATAATTCTCAGCGCTTCTCTAAGCACGTTGTAAATTGAAACCTCTGAAGCTTTTCACAGAGCACACACAAAAGCACTGTACACACAGGAGCATTTGAAAGCACCTATCTATCTGTGATACTCTGTACTCCTGGTATTCCAGAAACAGTTTTAAAATGTCAGTATCGACTTGGTACCGAAGTGCCGGTACTAATGACAACACTAATTGCCATGTAAAATCTAACATACAATGCCAAACACATTTTTTTCCTTAATGTTCATAGTTAATTTCCATTGTTGATTGTTGTTTGCACGGATGACAAAGTCTGGGCTTTTTTTGTTACGTCATGAAAACATTTGATACTTTCGTAGGCCACTGTGGGAAATGCCGCCGGGTTCGAGGGAAAGGTGAGCGCCAGAGACAGTACTGCCAAAAAGATTTTGGTGAGTTCAATCGGTATGTCTCCCAACACAACGGAAATTTTGGTTTAATGTACATAATATATTTGATGATGGCAATACATTTTTCTGCTGTGACAGTACTTCGAGCAAAAGTGCTGGAAAGAGTCTATCATGGTGAGGAGACCCGCTATGACGTCCAAATCATCCACACATACCGCAACCGTTATCGTCTGGAGCACCGTGAGTTCCTGTGGGCCCCCAACAAATGTGACTGTCCCCTTCTAGAGGAAGGCCACCAGTACGTGTTGATGCTGCGACGGCATATAAATTACGAACGCACTCTCAATCGCATCCTGATAGAGGAGGACAGCTACGCTCAGCCTTATCGAGCACGTGAAGATGGCCTGCTGCGCCCCCTAGAGGAGCTCTGCGGTAACAGAGGTAGCAGGACTCAGTTTTTGGGTTAAACGCATGAACGATCACACTTTCACTGCACGATTATTCTGAAGCTCAGCTCTTATGCCAAAAAACAAGGCACAGACAGAAACCACGCTGACGCTGACTTGAAATACTGAAGCATTTCGCATTCCGCAGCAAGGATAATGGACACTTTTGTCGGGATGAATTATGTCCATGGGGGCATGAGGTTAATTAAAGTAAAGAAAGTCACTAAATGAAGCACTTTAGGTGGACAGTCACCTTCTTTTAAAACGTATACACCAAAGTAAATAATTTACACAGCATGATGCCCTTTCTAGCACAACGTGTCTGTTAATGGCTTAAAATCACTTGACAGCATGTATATCTTTATCATGTGCATTTTGATGTTGTTTTTTATATATGTATTTATAAGTTGACAGTATTTCTAAAGGAAACCTTGATTTATATATTGCCTTATAATTTTAAATGTTTTACCATATATATAATTGCTTTTATCTACGGTTATAAAGTCCCTTATAAAGTGAAATGATAATGAGTGTTTATGAGTCACATTTACACATTCAAGATAAGCAGCACACACATACAGTGCTTAGCATAAGTGAATACACCCATGCTAAAGTTGACTAAAAAGAGGAATACAAAATCATCTTTTGGAAATTGATCTTAATGCCTTAATAAAAAAAAGAGGAAAAATCAAATTAAAATAGCCCCACATCATCACATACCCTTCACCATACCTAGAGATTGGCATGGTTTTATTTCAGTTAGCCTAATAGCTGGTTTGATTTGCATTGAGATGATCTTATGGAAAGTACCCCATGCCAATCTCTAGGTATGGTGAAGGGTATGTGATGATGTGGGGCTATTTTAATTCCAAAGGCCAGGGGAACTTTATCAGGATGCATAGTATCCTGGATCCATGAAATAACTGGCCTTTAAAAATAAAAATATGCCTGCCTGTATGGGAATTTAACATAGGGGTGTCCAGACTTATGCACCCTGTATTTTTAAGGAAGCCCATTTATTTATTTACGATACATTATTCATTCACAAAGAAAATTGGTGTCTTTAAAGGTTGGATTTTTCCTCATTTTTTAAATTAAGGCATTAAGATCAATTTCCAAAAGATGATTTTTTATTCCTCTTTTTAGTTAACTTTTACATGGGTGTATTCACTTCTGCCAAGCACTGTATAACCGTCTATGGCGGAGCGCTTTTGCCGATAAACAGTTTTTCACCTCTATTTTTGGCAGCTGTTTTTCTCTTTAATCATTAGTAGACTAACTAAGATTATCCTATTACTTTGATGTGGTTGTGAAATTATAGTCCAGCCTTTCGGCAAAACACACATAAACTCTAGAATGTGTTTTGTTAAAAATATATTTACAAAAATAACTTATCTTTTATTACAGTGACAAAACTTTCTAACATAAACACGCAATTAGAGTTAAATAGGCTGACTGTCGCCGAGCTATTAAAGTAATTTTACTGTAGATAACAGCCTTTTCTCCCTATGGCCTCTGATTGGCTGAGAGAGTGGGCGGGGCAATCCCCCAGAGAGCATATATATATATATATATATATATATATATATATATATATATATATATATATATATATATATATATATATATATACAAGCCACAGATCACTGAAATAAAGCATTGCTCACATAATCTATACAACTTGATAAGCATAAATGTATCAAAAGGTTAAATTAAATAGGAAAAAGCCTATTTCAGGTATCTCCGTATGTCTACACTGTAAGCCAATGAAGAATTCTTCTACATTTAAAAAAAACGAAACGAAAAAAACCTCACTAAATATACAGACATCCAGCTTTTTTAAATGTTAATGTCATATTCCATTTGGCAACTTTAGCACATCCCCTAAAGATATGCGCGTACAGTCTTAAACATGGTTAACATTTTCCGTTCCATGCATGTTGGATTGCATTGATAGTGCTGGTGATTTTAATCCTAACAGGATTATCAGGAGGATCAATGTTCATTTAATAGAGTCTACTCTTCAGCGTTCAGAGATCCTGCATGACCCATTTCCTTTGCAGTGGAAATCCCCAGTAACCTGCACCCATCCCCACTGTCTTTGACACTGTTGAACAGTCTGTTTTGTGTGATTCACACGCTGACGCTAACGTGACGGTGGGAGGTGGTCCGTCTCTTGATGCGGGCGCGGCGAGGTCGTTTGTGATCAGACTGGCAGTGGCACAGGGGACTCAGGAGGAGCCAGAGATACAGAACAACACATGCCCAGCAGGAAGAGAGCTTGACCCAGAATGTGGAGTAACTCCCGTGGGTGAAGGTTGTCTCCAGCACAGCAGTCTCATAACTGGGGAGACAGAATGACATTATAAAAATTGGTCAAAATTGGGATTTGTGTGTGTTAATCTTTTGGCAACAAAATTGCTTTAAATAATCCCCAGATGTTAACTGATTCTGCAAAAACCTATTTTAGAAAAAAAAAAAAAATATATATATATATATATATATAGGAGAAAATAATCATCTTTTTATTTACCTCTAAAACTGCCAACATTTTATTTCAGGCTCGGGCTAATCTATAACAAGGGTTTTTAGACTTTACAGACTCCATTCAACTCAGTCAACTCAGGGAGCCCAATATATATATTTTTTTCTCTGTTACACTTTATAACATTAATTGATGACAAATATTAACACCGTTTATAATATTTAAAAGAGCAATAATACACCACATTTAAAAAAGGCTGAAATATAGTCAAATAAAACATATATATATATATATAAATAAAAAAAGTTTTGGGTCAGGAAGATTTCTATTTGAAATAAAAAATGTTATTTTAAAAATTCTATTCTTCAAAGAATTAAGAAAAGAAATGTGTCACGGTTTCTACGAAAATTTTTAAGCAGCACAACTGTTTTAACATTGATAATAATGTTTTTAGAGCAGCAAATCAGCATGTTAGAATGATTTCTGAAGGATTATGAGACACTGAAGACTGGAGATGATGCTGAAAATTCAGCTTTACCATCACAGGAATAAATTACTTTTAAAAATATATTCAAACAGAAAACAGTTATTTTAAATTGTAAATAGTGAGCAAAAAAAACAAAAAAAAACTTACTGACCCCAAACTTTTCAACAGTGTATATATATATATATATATATATATATATATACACCTGCAGCCGGGTCCTCACAAACTCCTGAAACCCCAGGAAATTAGCTTAATTTATTTTTATAAACAAAAGTAATTCTCTGTTTAGATAGTTGTGTGTCTGTGCTTGTATATTGGTTCTATCCACAAAAACTCTTTTGTGTGTTTCCTGTTGTTCCAGGGCTTTCTGCTCGGATCTTCAGAACAGCTCAGACGAGCTCTTTAACAACTGACCTGAACCAATTAGTGAGGGTCATCATTACGTAGAGGGAGGCCAGAAAGAAAACAAAATGGAAGAAAAAGTAGCTGTAGGCAACGCGATGGGCCTCGTTGTGGATGACTTTCTGACAGCCTTTGCTCTCGTCAATGACAAACTCCTCCTCTGTCAGGACAGAAACAAAGATGTTAATACCTTGACATTAAAGGCACAGTTCACCCCCACAAATTTCATAATTTACTCACTCTCATGTCGTTCCAAGCCTGTATGGCTTTCGTTCTTAAGAAGAACACACAAAATATATATATATATTTTGAATAATGTTGGTAAGCAAACAGTTTCGGTTTTTGTCCAATGGGAACCGAAACTTATTGCTTACCAACATTTTTCAAAATATCTTTTTGTATTCTGCAGAAGAATGTCATATGGTTTGAAACAACATGATGGTAAATATATGATGGCATAATTTAAATTTTTGGGAACTATCTCTTTAATATGTTTATGAAATCTATGGATATTGGAATTTGTGATATGTTTCTCACCATCTTCTGCCTCTGGGCAGCAAAAGCAACAGGAGGCTTTCTGTTCAAGACAGAGGGTGGCAGAGATTGTCAGAGACATTCGGAGTTAAAAAGCTCAAAAAGATTTTTATTTATTTATAAAACATTCTGAAAGTCACATACTTGGAACTCATAGCGGTAAACTTTTATCATCCAGAAAGGTCCAAAGACTTCAGCCAAGTATGAAGCCTCATTGCTGAGGACGAAAATCAGCATACATTTTATTAGCCAAAGTAGACATTTTATTAATATCTCCATTATTCACACCTCAATACGTTTTTTTGCCTACCATGCAAAGAGAACACAGCAGTACATGATTGCAGCCCCAATAATGGCCACAGCATTGCCTTCATTTTGAATCTCATCTCTGCTGACTTTGGGGTAACACACCGTCATGTTGACCCCTTGATACTCCACTGCAAAACACAAAACAGAGAGAGAGAGAGAGAGAGAGAGAGAGAGAGAGTTTTGGATTAAGATTTATTTTCTACAAACCCATCATTTGGGGTTTCAGGATCATGTTAAAAACAACAGCGAATTGCATTTAGTGTCACATTTACACACTCCAATAAGGATTTCTTGAGGCCATTGTTTCTGGGTTCAGAGATGATTTACAGGTCTGTGGATATTGTGCGTTGTGTGTCTGAGAGAATTCCTCTGAGATGGGATTAAACTCCCAGCATGCCCCAGGGTGCACTTCAGTCCTTTATGAAGTCATGCAGCACACAGAGGCCATAAACCCACAGATAGTTAGGGAACAAGACAGGACACAACAAACACACATATACAAACACAGTGCCATTCACAACCCCCCCCCATATGTAGTTGGATTGTTTCATGTAACTTAGTTCTTCTCCCTGGCTTTGACAATCAGCTGATTAGTACTATTGACCGTAAAACGGTAACGTTACAGGAGTCACCGACCCGTCGATCGCAGTCGACAAGTCGAGCTTGGAAGCATTTTTAGTCGATCGCGAAGAGTTTTCAAAACCAGAGAAAAAAAACAATAGTTTTATTCATTATTATTTATTAATTTGTGTGTAGTAAATGGTGTCTAGGGGATGCGGAGGCGCGCGCGCTGTTACAATCACGCCATTTTTGCCGCGCAGACCTTTGTGCTCATGCGGTCGCGTCGAGTATAAACAATGCTTTACGCTTTAACCAGCTCAGCCACAGCCCTACAGCATAACAGCTCATATTAGCCAGCTAAACTTTTACTACCCTGTTAGAAAAAATATGTAACGTTAGTTGGATAGTTTCATGTGGTTCTTCTCCCTCGCTGTATTATGGGTTTGCTATGTGGGGAGAAATGTGCGTTCGTGAGACAATCAGCTGATTACTATTATTATATTATATATTAAGACCCTTGATCCTCACCTGACTATGGCTTTGTAAACTTTATCCATAATGTGGTTTATAATGGACTGTGGTACAGAAACAGTGACAATGTTACACACTCTTGGCTTACTCTGGCTATTCTCTGCTGTCTCAGACGACGATATGTTTGTCCCGTTTTAGCCACCGTAGCTTCTTCGAAAGGGAGGGGTGAGCAGTGGGCTGAGCCATTAGTGCAACTCCCAACCGAACCACTA